GAATTGAATACATTTCTGGCAGGTCGACAGGTACCTTCTGTACTTGCGGGATTTTTAAAAGGATGAAACAGAGGCAAATGTGCATGCTTTGTGGACATTTACTGCATTTTTAAAAAATATTTTCCCCCTGCATGCTTTAAAGTCCCCTACCTCAGCATATACTTACTTTTCTTTGCCACTCTGTTTAGCGATGGGAGTCCAGGGAAAAATGTGGCACTTATGGGTATGGAGGAGCATGTGACTCGCTCCATGTAAAAAAAATCACTGGGCCAATCAATTAGTAATTCATAGTCCCACAAAAGCTACAACGCCAGCAAATTGTAGCCTACTCAGAAAATGTTCTTCATTCACAAAAGCTGAATGAAGAGGTATGGAAGAGCTAAACCAAAATGAACCTGTTGCAATGTCCTGTGTTGGCAAAGCACACAGTTACTTTGAATCCACCGTATTAGATTGTAAGTTCTTATCAGCTAGTACCTCTTATCCCTCCTGCATTGTATTGTTTACTGTACTTTCTCCCTTTATATTGCAAAATGCTGTGCAAACTGTTGGCTCTATATAAATCCTATATAATAATAATGAATTGATGGGGAAATTGCATATTATATATTTCCTTATTAATGTTGGCCTCACATACAGTGGTGCAAAAAAGTAATTAGTCAGCCACCAATTGTGCAAGTTCTCCCACTTAAAAAGATGAGAGAGGCCTGTAATTGGCATCATAGGTAGACCTCAACTATGAGAGACAAAATGAGAAAAAAAATCCAAACAATCACATTAAGCCACTAAGGAGTGGCTTCATAAGAAGCATTTCAAGGTCCTGGAGTGGCCTAGCCAGTCTCCAGATCTCAACTCCATAGAAAAACTTTGGAGGGAGTTGAAAGTCCGTGTTGTCCAGCGACAGCCCCAAAACATCACTGCTCTAGAGGAGATCTGCATGGAGGAATGGGCCAACATACCAGCAACAGTGTGTGCCAACCTTGTGAAGACTTACAGGAAATGTTTGACCTCTGTCATTGCCAACAAAGGATATATAACAAAGTATTGAGATGAACTTTTGATATTGACCAAATACTTATTTTCCACCATAATTTGCAAATAAATGCTTTCCAAATCAGCCAATGTGATTGTCTGGATTTTTTTTTTCTCATTTTGTCTCTCATAGTTGAGGTCTACCTATGATGCCAATTACAGGCCTCTCTCATCTTTTTAATTGGGAGAACTTGCACAATTGGTGGCTGACTAAATACTTTTTTGCCCCACTGTATATCTAATAAAGCCTCTAATATTCTGATTAGTCTGGTTACCTTAGCTGACACATACCAAAGGAAGGCTATTGTAAACTGACTATATGGACAAGGCAGCCCACTGATCTGTTTTCAGGAATGTGCCATTTTCCTTAGAAGGTAAGGTCATACTGCTCCAAGGAGAATGAATTGGCGATTTCCTTACATTCAAGTCCTCTATATAACACACACAGCTTATAATGACTGTCTCTACCAGAGCTTGATATCATGCATGCATCTGTGATTACCTGCGCCGCGCTGTGCAAGCAGGTGGGACCCGGGGCGGAAACAGCATCTTTATTTAAGTATTCTTGTTATATTTTCTAATATTTGTTATCTGTATATGTCATTACTTCAATAAATGTTATACTTATAAGTATTTGTGTGCTCTTTGCCGATATTGAATACAATCCTAAAAACGTAAACTACTGTGACAAAACATAAAGTAACACGGCATAAATGACGCTGTAGAACAAAACTTTCTTTTCTAACTTTTCAAAAAATGTAATTTGATAGAATATCAACTAATTTTCTAAAAACACATGTCCAAAAATAACTAGGAAATGAATGTAATATTGCTTGGAGACAAGGATTGTCTTCACTTCTCCAAACTAAAACTAACTTCTAATTAGGAGACTGCGAAAATGATTCACGATTAAACACCTTGGGTTTTGCTTTCAGCAATACAAACCTAAAATGTGTGGGGCATAGTGTAACTAGCGCCAACATATAATTACATTTCAGTGCATTTACACTTTCTTTTGTAGCTTTTTCTCCTACTTAAATCTGCTCTGTGTAGAATGCATGACAGATAAACTCCATCTCCACCCTAATTCATTTGCACATTTTAGGTGAAGTGAGATTGGGTTCCATTGCATGCCAGTTCTACATTCCTAAGAAGGAATGTGTGCTCAACTTTTTAAAGGGACAAAGCCCAAAGCCTAGAGGAATTAATAGATTGGAAGAAGAATCAATCTCTTTAGATGTATAGGTTATTGAAGATCTAGTTAAACACCAAACATTTTGTGGATCTGAGTCACCTTCTTCAGGGCTGAGGTGGGTGTAAACCAACCTTTCCTGACCTTTTTTTCTTGGAGGAACCCTTAAATTAACTTTCAGATCTTCATGAACCAACTCACTGGGGAGAATACCCCTTACTTTGGTGGCTAGATGGAAGAATGCCCCCTTATGATTGTGGTCAGGCTGCCAATCTTAAGGAAAGCTAAAAAGATGATTGGTGTAATATCACTGGTTATGCCAAGTGGTGTTAGCCCTGGAACCATACAAGAACCATCTGGTGAGAGGTCAATCAACCACAGCTGAAGGAGCCCCTAACAACTTCTGGAGGATCCCTAGGGTTTCACAGAATCCTGGTCAAGAATGGCTGGTGTAAACAGAGAACAAGAGAAGATGACACTTGCAACACAATTTGGCAGAGGTCCAACAGTGACCAATGACCAATTAGTTTTTGTGAAGTGGCCACTCTTCTCAGGAACATATTAATTGTGAGTGCTTGGTAAAAGGTCTGTGAGTTCTCTGTGACCACCTCGGATGGACTTTCCACAGCAATGTTTTGAAAACAGGCTGTATTTAGAATAAACCTGTGGCTCCCCTGAAAGAAAAACAAGCTCGACTGTTTACATCTATGCCAAGGAGGGCTCAAAGTGAGGACCATGGTGGTTGTAAGGAAAGAGACCATGATGGTGGTAAAGAAAGGGAGTGTCCCTGCAGCAGTCAGGGGCGTCGTATTTACCGCGAGGCAAACAAGGCGTTTGCCTAGGGCGGCACTTTTCAGGGGGGCGGCGCGGCCCCCCTTCTCTCGGCAGAAGTGACACAGGACACAGAGTGATCTGAGTGCTGGGACTGGGAGCAGCCGGGGCTCAGCTGTGCTCATTTTGTGTGCAATGGGGAGGCGGATCGACGCAGGGTCCATCGGCAGGGGCACCGGAGCTGACACAGCACCAGTTACACTGATCCACAGCTCTGTCCTCGGCTGGCTCCCAGCAGAGCACACCGAAGCCACCTCCCTCTCCTCCACTGTCTATATGTACATGGGAGGAGGAGGGGGGAGGAGGAGAGACACCGCTGTGCATGTCTGCTGAGCTGAGGTCTGTACCGATTTTCTTTTATTGTTCCTGGGCAGAGGAGGGGGACAGAGTGACCGGGAAGGGGGGCAAGTTAAAAAAAAATTAGAGATGGGGGGTTATGTGCTGGGGGGGCGGGCACTTTGGGATGGGAGAGGATCTATACTAGAAGTTGGTTTTGGAATTGAAATCTGACCCCACATGAGAACATGCCTTCTCCCCTTCCAAAGCGCCCCCCCAGCACATATCCGACCCCCCCCCGCACCTCCCTACTAGCACAAGTGGAGGGGGGTCTGTACTGAGAGAGGGGGGTCTACAATGATGGAGAAGGGCCTGTTCTTAGTGGAAGGGGGGGGTCTATACTGAGGGGGGGGGATCTATACTTAGAGGGGAATGAGGTCTGTACTCAGAGAGGGGGGTCTGTACTGAGTGGGGACTATACCTGGTGGGGAGGGGGGTCTATACTTGGTGGAGAGGGGTCTGTACTGAGGCGAGGGGGGATCTATACTTGGTGGAGAGGGGGTCTGTACTGAGGTGAGGGGGGGGGATCTATACTTGGTGGAGAGGGGGCCTGTACTGAGGTGAGGGGGGGGATCTATACTTGGTGGAGAGGGGGTCTGTACTGAGGTGAGGGGGGGGATCTATACTTGGTGGAGAGGGGGTCTGTACTGAGGTGAGGGGGGATCTATACTTGGTGGAGAGGGGGTCTGTACTGAGGCGAGGGGGGATCTATACTTGGTGGAGAGCAGGAGCGTATTTACCGCAAGGCAGCATTTTTGAGGGGGGGGGGGCGGTAGTACTGCGGCAGGGAAGTGGGGGGGTGGGGGGTGACGGCAGCAGCCAATTTTTGTGTGTTGCCTAGGGCAGCACAAAACGTAAATACACCACTGGCCGCAGTCCCAAAGCACGAAAAAAAAAAAATGGTATGTGACACCTTTCAACAAACTCTCTGGTGCAAAAGCAGTTCCATGTTTTGTACAAAAACGTTTAGCTGTCTCACTTAGCCCATGCACTGATAACATTTTATAGATAATTTCCAATTATAAGGATATATTTTTTTCTTCTTTCACTTCCGTAAACCTAATAGACCTACTAGTGGCTTACACACAGCAATGGAAAGAATAACAGAAAAATATGTAAAAGGGAGAAGAAAGCTGCTTTACTCTATTCAGAATATACTGTATTTAATAACACACAGCGGATAATGTATAGTAATAGTGTATAGAGTTGCCATCACATTTGGGCTCTATGATGTCCTCACATCCCCACTGACACATGTATCCTCTGCAGTAATGTTCTAGTGCACATACCAAGCAAATGCTTATATTTTTCAGTTACCTGTTATACACGCTCCTAGATTGTAAGCTCGAAAGAGCAGGGCCCTCGAACCCCTCGTGTATTGTATTGTTTCTGTCTTGTCTCATGTTCTGTCCCCCACTATATTGTACAGCGCTGAGCAAACCCTTTGGCGCTATATAAATACTGTATAATAATACACTTCAGAGACAGATGTCATCTCCTGATAATTACCCAAGACATTGTCACAAGGTTAAACTAATTTTTTTGAAAAAAGTGCAGTCAGATGTCCAAAATCCCAAAGCCCCATACTGACAAATGGTGCCAATCTTACCTCTACAAGTGGGTGCCAGTGGGCGATGGGTTTCCTGGGATACGACAGCATTTCGCTCCAGTGTTCCCGGCCTAGGCTCTCTGCATCGTTGCCAACTTGACATACCCCGATGACCTCATTGTGACCTACACTGTGAAAATGTTACATAATGTTTTTTCTGTATGCAGTACATTGAAACAATGAAAACAAGTTATGGCATTGGCCAGTGCCACAATATATTAAAATAAGGATTCTCATTTAAAAAATTTCATTGCTAGTCATGCGTGTGCAAATACTGGCTCATTTATAGCTTATTTAAAGTTGAACTCCAGGCAGGTACAAAAAAAAACACAAAGTAATTCATCTCTGTATTTATTAATACATGAGCAGAGAAACTGAGAGAAGGAAGGCAGCAGAAGGAGCTATTCAGTTATAATGCTGTATTAATGTGCTAACAAGTGAAGTGCTGATTGGAGGAAAGAGCAGAGTGACAGAGAAATTAGCTGATTAGTTTGTAGTTTCACCCTTCATTCTCCAGTCATAGGCTGGTGTAGGAACAAGACCTATAAATATTACTTTAAGTGGAACTTCACTCTAAAGGTGAGATCTGCTTTATGTCTTCCTCCCCCACTCCTCCAACACTTTTGGGCATTTTGGGGGGGGGGGGGGGGGTGGGTATCTAGTTTTTGTAGGAACCAGCTCCCATTTCCAGTTGGATAGCTTAGGTGATTCCCCTGGACGTTTGCCCCCTCCACACACAAACTCTTGGAACACATCACAAATCCGGCTCACGCATACACAGTTGGAAGCTGGCTGTGAAGCCACAAGGAGTCACTTCCCACATTAAACAAGCCAGTGCTGTGGACCCAAAGACCAACCAAGAATCGGTGAGGACAATGCTGAATCCTTGGACAGGAAGGTGTCCTTTTATTAACAGTCAGCAGCTACAGTATTTGCAAACAGGCAGAAACTCCTGTTTAATTGCAGCAGATACAAATCAGGTGCCCTGCCTTGGGATGCAGGACTGTGCTGCATGTGTAAGTCTCAGAGCTGGATAGACAGAAATATAAACTCTTTAACAGATAAAACTGCCCCCATACCAGGGGCGGACTGACCATTCAGTCATGCGGGCACTGCCCGAGGGCCCCGGGTCAGTAGGGGGCCCCATAAAATGCCCCTGGTACCTTTTTCTATAGGCTTTTTTGAGTGTGGGCAAGGACACAGGGGCCCCATGATCCCCTATTGCCCGGGGGCCCCATGAGTTGTCAGTCCGCCCCTGCCCCATACACATATTTATGCTGAATTTAGCTATTTTCCTACAGTTCGGCTTTAAAGAATGACCATAAACAGGAACGTCTCAATATAATTGGAAGACCTATTTGTCCTTTGCTTGAATAACAGGACCGTGGGAAGCTTTGTGGTCTTCAGCCTAACATGTTTTACATGGGGCTATGGCATAGCGAAAGAATCCTTCCACTTTATTACTATATAAAAGAACGACTACAGCCCAGTAATAAATAACTATTTCCAGCTTGTTGGAAAATTGGAAACTCTAAATTGTATATGCATTGCAAACACTGCTTGTGTATTGGATATGCCACTTGCATTATTAGGTTTTTTGCTGCTACCCTAACATTATCCTTGGTCCCGCGTAATAAATAATAAGAAGCAAACAATTAACATGAAGACTATACATAAAACACAGCTTTCAAACCCTTGACTCCCATTGAATACAATCAGGTAATTGCACTGAATTCATTGTAATATCTCACCGGTCATAATCCATCACTGCTATTAATAAACTGATCTGATCAATATTCTCTGGCGGCACGTCAAACACGATGGCTTCATTATACACTGGGTTTAATGTGTTCCTCTTTGTTGATGTTTTCCTTTTCTTCAGTCTCCTCCCTTCACACATTATTGACACCTTCACATAAGGATCTATAAGGGAAAGGCATACAAATTGTAAATTGTAAAATACTATAATCTGCTATGAAAGGCTACAAAGGGGTTGTAAAGGTTGTTTGGAGACACCCAAGATGAAGGCCATTGCATATTTCAAGATTGCATAACTTGCATCTGTCCCTTAAAATGGTAAACTGAAGGATCTCATCATATAAAGCAATTAATATCATGTACATTTAGGGTTTAGTTGTTGGCAAGTGGAGACTTATGAACACGTACAGTCATTAATTAATATCATGTACATTTAGGGTTTGGGTTTAGTTGTTGGCAAGTGGAGACTTATGAACACGTACAGTCATTAATTAATATCATGTACATTTAGGGTTTGGGTTTAGTTGTTAGCAAGTGGAGACTTATGAACACGTACAGTCATTCATGTGTACATAGGGAACTATGACTGCTAAAAAGGGAACCATGATTGCAAGAGTAAGTTTATCACAAATGTCAAAAAGTGGGTAACCACTATAGTGGAACAACCAAGGATACAACCCTTCCCAGACCTGTCAGCAGAGCAATAGTAATTATGCTGCTATAATCTCAAATGACTAATGTCCTGTTCCACAGACTCCACTTTTTTGTATTGCCAACAATGTGATATTATTCGCAAAAATTGAAAACAGAATGAGCCATTGGTTGGAGGGTGACATTTATTTTATACACAGAAGCTGTTATTAGACTGCAAACTTAAATTGCAAAGGTTCTTTTTTTTGTCCCCTCATACCATAAGCAAAGACTGACAAGTAATTTAGGATAAATACAGTGCTGCCAATGTAGTAGGATGTAGACCAGGCTAATGGACCATTGCTATACCAGCGGTCACAGAACAGGAGCTACCACACCCTTTATTCTGTACTTGGGAAGACCACCTATGACTGTCCATCACAGCACGCCATATCGAAAATGTGTAGAGGCTATTAGTATCACAGGCCCAATGTGGTGTAATTACTTTGCCACTTATTAGATTATGTTGTCATTGTTCCTTGGCCTAGAAATAACTTTACACCCATGTGTAAATATTTATGGAATCTAGCTAGAAAGATAGCCACATACAGATGCCTTTGAGATACCCTGAACTATCAGGGCCCATATTGTGCAAAAAGTGATCAGACAGTGAACACTCCCTTCACTGATAGACCAAATGGTGAAAAGAAGAAACGGAAGACGCATTCTGCATGTCTCTTTGCCATCAGAAAGCAAAATAGCCTATTACTGCCCAATACCTCTTGGATGATATAAACCAGTTACGGCATCATGATGAATGCCACCTGCTTCTCACCTGCCCTGCATAAACCATAAATAACTACACAAGTACTGCAGAAGTAACAACTGCCAATAAAAGCAGTGATGACCAAGTACTCTCAGGCAGGAAGGGCAGGGAACACGTCTGATGGCCGCAATCTTTCCAAGGTCAGTGCATGTAGTCCTGTGTGTACACTAAATAGACTCACAGGCCTACCCCCTCATGCCACAGCCCCAAACAGGCCATAATTCATTTTAAAAGTCCTTAATACACATAATCATGCATCCCTTTAAAATACTTCCAGCATTCAAAGCATCCTTTCAGTGGGGCTCCAGGGGCTGTCATATCTAATTTTTTTTTTTTGTAATATACATACTGAAGACTTACTGTGGCAGGTGTGACAGATAAATAAAAATAATTTGTTGCTGGTACAGCAGGATTTAACCCAAGCTGCTTCACTACCTGCCACCGTGGAACTAAATCTTAGAGAGGCCTCCAAATCAGCGAAAGCTTTTCTATGTTCTGAATCAAATGAGTGTAGTTTTCTAATAATTGTATGAGGTGCTCAGATATGGCTACAATTTGTGAAGTGGGGCTTCCATGCTCCAGATATATTGTACATATCTCCAAACTTTCTCAACTCCCAACACCTTTTAGCACCAATTGTGTAGACAAAAGGCACACCCCCGAGGGATTACTATAATAGGAGGGACAACTGAGGAGGAATGGGGACAGAAGGATTTGGTTTTGAAAGAGGGACAGTCCTTCCAAATGAGGGACACTTGCTAACTATGCAGATATGCAATAATCCATTATTATTGTTTTTTTTCCACTGGTTTTATAGACCTCAACTGACTCAATGTCATTGAATGATATTATGTGCAATAAAAGTAAGTGTTCCTCTAAGCTTCCTTTGGTTATTTTAAAGCCAAACCAATGTTCTTGCTCAAATGGCAGTAAAAACCCTTTTAGTATTTTGAAAAAAATCCTGTTTTACCTTTAGAAGTTGAACTCAGGCAGCCAAAAACGTAAATGGCAGTTCTTGTTCATAAATTACTGGTTGTTTCTATTTTGGGTAAGAAAAGATCAAATACTGGCATTTCACCAAATTTAATGAAAGTGCAAGCTCACCCTTACAGTATTTTCTGTGTGTAACACATTTCCTGCCTGGTCTTCATTTACTTGGCAATACTAAATAACTATTTTCCATTCCTTGATCATGATTCTTGACTTCAGATTTTTGTTGACTTGGAGCTCCGTAGCCACAGGACACAATGGGCACAGAAATTAAGATGCATGTAATCCTTAAAGAGGTACTAAAGGAAGACAGCTGCACTCCAAGATTCATAGACACTGCGGGGACTGAGAACGTTGATGTGTTTTATGCTAAAGCAACGCTTAACTGGCATGATTAAATGCTGCTATAGCATGAAACGCGTCAACGTTCTCAGTCCCCATAGTGTCTGTGTTGCTGTAAGAAGTTGCTTTTATATTTCACAAAAGATGGAGAATCTTGGAGTGGAGCTGTCTGGATTGTCTAGTACTCAGTGGTACGAGCTGAGCTTGCACCTAAGTGAGAGGGGTGTGGAGGAGTGAAATGGCAGGGAGACCTGGAGTGGTTTTACTTTGTTGGATGTTACCAATAAAAGCAGTTTTACCTAACTTACCCCTTGCTCCCCCTGGCGAATGGCACTCTCTTCTTCCCTACAACGCTCCAGTTTGTGGATGGGACCAAGCAACCGCACTTACAATGCAGGACTACTAGTTCTGTATTGTACATAATGCTGCCAGAATGCAATCAATGTATGGAGCACCAGAGAGAAGAGGCTTTGGGGGGACCAGTTGCATGGACAGGAGGAAGCTTGCAAAAGCAAGGTAAGAAAAATTCAAAGGTTCCCTAGCAAAAATGAGCATTTAGCCACCATTGCAATGAAGGAATAGCCCCATTGCAAGGGTAGTTTTTAAATTTTTGCAAAGTTTAGATTTACTGTATGTGTAGTGTCTCCGATAACTCACGGGTGTTATGACCCTTATGAACAGGCCACTGTGATTACTCACCAGATGCCCCTGTGATATCCATGGCCTTGAGGTTTCTTGCCTTTATGATGGTGATGGTAAGTCTTCCCGCAGTAGGGAGGTAGCACAGCGAGAACATTAAATCGCCAAGGTCAACATTGTCCTACCAAACAAAAAATATTTGACAATATTATACAACAAAAAGCACTAAAGGAGTGAAATGAATTATTTTATTATGTACACACAGAAATTACTGCCTTAGAATTGAGACACAATGAAAAACAATAACACATTCCTATCAAAAGAGGTACCAAAACAAAGAACTCCACCACTCATTTCTGAAGATCATCCTTCATTCCTGTGCTGAGAGGTTTAATCATCTGTCGCCTGTGAGTCAGACTTTACATTAAAAGTGACTGCTCAGAATCACAAATGACAATTCACTGTATTATTTTATATCATTTATATTACTTTTATATCATATAAACAGACAGGTGGATAGATCATTTGAATGTATTCATTTGAATTATTTGTGATATTTATTTAGTAGTGGAACACGTCTACTATGATCAAAAATAGTGTCATTCTTTTCCCTAAATCGCTTAAAGTGATTGTAAACCAATTTTTTTTTTTATATAAAAAAACATGTCATGCTTACATGCTCTGTGCAATAGTTTTGCACAAAGCAGCCCTGATCCTCCTTTTCTTGGGTTCCCTGCTGGCGCTCCTGGTCCCTTCCCCCCGCTGAGTGCCCTGATAGCAAGCGGCTTGCTATGGGGGCACATGTGCAAGCTCGCTCCTGAGCTGCGCTCTGTGTGTCCATTGACACACAGAGTGTGGCCTGGCCCCGCCCCCTCCACTGCTTCCTCTCTCTCTCCAATGGCTCTCACTGCCATCTCTAAGCCTATGAGGAGGAAGAGAGACGCTGTGTTCGTGCACAGTGCTGTACCAAGATCACACTCAGGCAATTACAGGGGGGATGAGGGGAACTGCACTCAGAAGGTGTTTTACCTTAATGCAGAGAACACATTAATTTAAAAAAAATTCAGCCTCTAGAACCACTTTAAAGCGGTAGTAAAAAAAATGGGGCACTGCAGGTACCGTATATGCCATAATGTATCACCCACCTACTGAACGACATATCAGAGTGGATGTCGCTTCATTTCCTCAAATTGAACCTTTCCAAAACCGAGCTCCTGATTTTCCCCCCAGCCCGTGCCCCCCCCACCCTCTCCATCACGTCCAACAACGCCACCATCAGTCCCACCCCACAAGCCAAAGTCCTAGGTGTCACTCTAGACTCTAACCTGTCCTTCCAACCCCATGTCCAATCGTTGGCAAACTCATGCAGACTCCACCTCCGCAACGCAAAATACGTTCGTTCCTAACCCCAGACACTACTAAACTACTCGTTCACTCCCTTATTATCTCACGTCTGGACTACTGCAACTCCTTTCTCACCGGCCTACCTCATCGCAGACTATCCCCTCTTCAGTCTATCCTAAAGTCAGCAGCCAGACTCATCCACGTCACCAACCGCTCCACCTCTGCCACCCCCCTCTGTCATTCCCTCCACTGGCTCCCGATTGCCGAACGCATTAAATTCAAACTACTAACACAGACATACAAAGCCATTCATAACGCTGCCCCAAAAACTACCTCACCGACCTGATACCCAAATACCACCCTACCCGTAATCTTCACTCCTCACAAGACTTCCTACTTTCTAGCTCCCTGGTCTCCACCTCCCACGCCCGACTGCAGGACTTCTCCAGGATTTCCCCCATCCTCTGGAACTCACTACCCCAGTCCATCAGACTGTCACCTCCCCTCCTCACCTTTAGGCGCACCCTGAAAACCCATCTCTTCAGGGAAGCCTACCCCGCCCTCACCTAACAGCCGATCTCCTCCACTCCTCTTACTACTCCATCCCCCACAGCCACTTCCTCCTGTACCACTATCCCCTCCCTCCTAGATTGTAAGCTCGAAAGAGCAGGGCCCTTGAACCCCTCGTGTTTTGTCACTGTATTGTCTCATGTACTGTCCCCCAGTATAATGTACAGCGCTGAGCAAACCTTTTAGCACTATATAAATACTGCATAATAATAATAATAATAATAATGTGCTAGTATGCACTGCATATTATTGCAGATTTACCTGTCAGTCCTCAGCACTGCACTGTCACAGTTCCAGCAGGCCCTGGCGGCCTCCATATTCCCCGGTCTTTCTTCTGGGTTCGCACTGTCGGCCGCTTGAATGGCCAAGCTGTGATGGCATCCCATACGCACAGGAGACACATCATCATAGCTTGGTCATTCAAGAAGCACACTGCGGCACACAGAGCCATAAATGTGGTCAGACTACATTACCTTTGACAGGCTGGAAGAGGCATTCATAGCAGAAGTGACAGCAATACCTACCTGTCAGCAGGTTTTTTCAAATGGGAAGGTACTACCACTTTAAAGTTGAATTCCAGGCCAATGTCAAATGACTACTGATGAAATAAATAGAAGGGGACTCTTTTACCTTCCAAAGGATTTGTGTTTTGTCATCCAGTTCTGAGATTCACACAGCTATGCTGCACAGCACAGCCTTAACTGGGAAGGCAGGAGACCTGATTTTACTCCATTACTGTTAAAGAGGAATTTCACGCTGGCCCCCAGAAGTCCAGCTGTGTATTCCCTGCAGCTGATTCTTCTTAGGGATGCAGGTCCCCGGAGTTGTCATCTTGGATTTGGGAGCTGGTTGAGACCTTTTTATGATTCACAGTCGGCTCCTCACTGCACATATGCAAAATTGCGTGGTGCAGAAAGACTAGTCCTGCAGCCTCATGGGATATGCCAAGTTATCCCTGGAGGCTGCTGGTGGTGGGGAGGGATTAAATCCAAGTTGAGGTCATCCCCACGCATCTCAACCACAAATGGGCTTTTTAAAGGAATTGAGTAGTCCAGCGGTGTATTCCCAGCAGCTGATTATTCTTAGGGATGCAGGTCCCCAGTGTTGCCATCTTGGATTTTGGAGCTGGCTGAGACCTTATGCTTCACAGTCGGCTCCCCACTGCACATATGCAAAATTGCATGGTGCAGAAAGACTAGTCCTGCAGCCTCCTGAGATATCCCACATTATCACTGAAGGCTGCGGGTGGGAGAGGGATGCGCTCCAAGGTGATGTTATCCCCACGCATCCCAACCACAAGTGGACTCTCTAAAGGAAATGATAAGCTTTTTTGCACAGAAACTCTTCTCCAACAGAGTATGCAGCAATTGTTTTGAAGCTCCCCATGGGCCATAGAGTGTCATCTTCCCCTGTTCCCCACTCCAGAGTGCCTGCTCTGTATTTTCATTACAGATTAGAAGTCTGGAAGGCTGCTATGTCACTGCTGGGAGGGGAAGCGGGGAGAGCTGAGCTGCAAAGAAAACACTAACAACTTCAGCGCTTCTGCTGTCAACATTGAGGATGAATTGCTCCACAGTGCCTACAGATACAAAGACTAGTGAGGACAGCTATATCTTTAACACAATTGGCCCTCAAATAATTCCCCCAGCTTGGAGTTCAGCCCACTTGTTTAAAGACCTTCAGCTTCACCTGTGCTGCTCTGATGCATGCTGCACAGCCTTTCCAGTGAAAAAGTTCCCACCAAGTCTTCCTCTAAGTGCACATGCATGTCATGACCCCAATAATTCCTATGAGTAAGTCGTACTCATGGTGGTCTCCAGGGGTCTAGTAGAGTACAGCTTACCCATAGAACACATGAGGTGTGATGTGCATATACACTAAGAATAGGACATTTGCAGTGGAAAGGCCTTATGGCACTGGGCAGGGCTGCACAGGGAAGAACTCTGGATTGAGAGGGAAGGTAAATATTTGAGCTGGTGAGCCGCACTTTGGGGATTGATTAAACTATTAAAATGTCCATAGCCATGCCACAAGTTCACTTTAAAAAGTGGAGTATGGCTTACCCATAGAATAAGTGGATGTGCGGTACACATGAACATGTAGCAGGTGCCTTGCTGGCTGTGTATCCCCCACTCTTTCACCCTCCCCTCTCCTGCTGCTGGTATCTGTGTAAACAGTAGACTGTATGTACAGCAGCCGCCTCAAACTCTGAGCTTCCTTGCAGTTCTGTGTGTGACCCCCACTCACTCCCCTTCCTTCCAGCAAGCAGCAGAGGGACCAATCAGGAAAGACTGGAGGAGAATCATGGGACATGTAGTCCCCCTGGGAGCACTGCCCAGTGAAAATAATGGGACCTGAACTACAGCCCTCACCAGACCCTGCAGAAGATGCTGTATTTTCCAGGCTGTAGAGGACACAACTTCCTCTTGCCATGAGGGAGCCTGGAGAGTGTACATTACTGTCCATTGTGCACCACCATGGCTGCACAACAGCGGCTTAACCAGGATCCAGAGTGCTGACTCCACGTGTGCTGACAGCCAGACTCACCTTTGTGCAAAGCAGGGAGAGAGAACTAATCGCTGTGTGTGACTGGATGGTGTGACAGCAGGTGTGACCGGGGCTGTACTCATGTGCACCAGCGGTACAACTGGGCCCCAAAGCTAGCCAGCTCCTTTACAGCTGCTACATAGTGACCTTTACCTATTGGTTATGCTAAGAGGTACTTCTCATGGAACATTGCACTATATCCTAGCCATTCTCCTAGTGTGCACTCTAATAACTCTATTAGTTATAGTACTAATATTTACATTGCAGTTTACATTTATATGAACTGTTTATTGCTGACATTTCTGATTCCTGAGTGAAAGTATAACTAAAGGCAAAACTTTTTTTTTTAGGTTTGGATACAGTTTTATTATTAGAACCCCTCTCAATTGATGTCTGTGTCCCTGTTAGGAAGATTCCCCCTCTCCATTTGTCCTGTTTACTGTTATCATTGAAAGTGAAAGTAAAAGAAAATCTCAAATTTTGGGTTGTCCCCAGAAAAGTAATAGAGGGAAAATCTTCCTATGGGGACTCTAGTTCTGGTGACCTGGGGTTCCCCAAGAAATTACCTTAATTTGCAGGAGTTATAACCCTCCAAAATGAAAAAAAAAAAAAAGTCTTGCCTATAGTTCTAGTCTATTCTAGTGGCAGAGATGCTAAGTTATCTTGGCATAGTGATTATATTGTCCAGTGGACTGTGTCTGAACCTATTTTCTGTGTGCTCATGTATG